TCATCTTCTGACGCCGTGTAGAGCAGCGCAAAGTGAAATGCGACAGGGCCTCGCCAGCCTGTTCGTGGTGTCTGAAGAACCACTCAGCATGTGTGAGCCTGCCCGCCTCCTGTATGCTCACTGCAAACTCAACCACGCCTAGGTCTATCTCCCACGCAAGAAACCAGGCCTCCGAGCTGGCTACGGACGCGAACTCGAGTCGCGACTTGGTAAGTTGCACCCTCGACTACACATTACACACATAAATATGTAGCCGAGGTATCCCCATGGGCCGACTCCAGCTTCAAGAATTACTCACACCCTCGTATCCGTCCCGCTAAGCAGCCGCAAGCTAACATGTACGGCCTGTAGATAAGCTCGAAGCTCTCCTCTTGCAGCAGCAATCGCAAATCAACCACCTCACCAACAACCAGGTCGCGACTTCTGGTCCCTCGCCTCAGCACGTCACTGCCTTCCGAAGCCCGCCCATTGTCCAGACTCCTCATATCCCTAGGCCTGAGACCGCCCTCTTCATCCAGAAGCCCACGTTTCCCTCGCAGAGTGCCATCCACACCACGTACGGCAATGGCGTCACCGACAACCGTCCCGCCTCCTCGGTCGCCAGCCACAGCTACACGCCCGAAGACATGACGGCCATGGGCAGTGCCCTCACGCGCGAGCCCTACACACCCTACAACGAGCAGTTTCAGCCCGCAATGGCACGGAACTTGGGCCACGCCGACGCAGACTTTCCCCCATACGATCTGCTCTACGGGCTCGTCGACCTCTTCTTTAAGCACATCAACACCTGGTGTCCGATTCTCCACCGCCAGAGCACTCTCAACTCGCTCTTTGGAGACACGCCCCTCGATGACGCCGACAAAATCATACTGCACTCGGTTGTTGCAACAACTGTAAAGTTCTCCACTGACCAACGCCTTACACCCGAGAAGCGCACGCGATACCACAAGAATTCCAAGGAAAAGGTTTTGCTCTACGGCATAGAAAACAGCTCGGTCAAGTCGCTGCAGGCCCTTGTCATCCTTGCACTTGACGTTGTTGGCTGCTCCAATGGCCCGCCAGGGTGGAACTTGCTTGCACTCATAACTCGCTCCGTGGTCCAGTTGGGCTTGTCGGTTGAGAGCTATTCACCAAGCGTCGCTCCTCAGTTTGCTTCCATATACACCCTGCGAGCCATGACACTACCAGAGCCAAAGGATTGGATAGAGGAGGAGAGTCGGCGCAGGCTCTTTTGGATGATCTACGTCCTTGATCGGTACGCGACGGTCGCGACTGCCTTTGAATTTGCTCTAGATGACAAGGAAATCGATCGCCGTCTGCCGTGTCGCGACGACCTATATGCACGTAATGCGCCCGTAGAGACGAGATGGTTTCATACCTCAGCAAGATCAGACTACAGTATGAACAGACCCGAAAATCTCGGCTCATTCTCATATTTGATTGAGATTCTGGGCATTCTCACAAGGATACACAAGTTTTTGAAGAAGCCCGTGGATATTACGTCTCTGTCTGATGTTGAGTCGTGGCAGAGCGAATATCGAGAACTCGACAACGCCATCGAACAGTGGAAGTACAATCTTCCACAGGAATATGGCAACTCGGCCAGACTATTCGCAAAACCGGGCATGGGACAGAACCTCGACAGTGGCTTGATCATGCTCCACGCAGCTTTCCATACGTAAGTCGTTACTCTTCACTCTACCAGCAGATGTACTGACTCCTCTAGTACCGTCATTCGCTTGCATTCATCTGCAGCATACCCCACTCATAGATCACCCATCTTTACACCGTCGTTTAGTGCCAGTCAAAGGTGTCTCAGCGCCGTTGAAAATATTACTGCTCTATGCGCTACTGTGCGTGACAACGCGCTGTTGAGCAAACTCGGCCCTCCATTTGCGTTCTCACTCTGGGTGGCTGCTCGAGTTCTCCTGGTTCATGGATCGACTATTGATCATCGAGTTGATCAATCGATTAACCTCCTCGTGAGCACCCTTCGCGACATGGGCCAGTATTGGGAGGTCGGCACACGCTATGCAAGCCTGCTGTCACGTGTTCTATCAGAGTATCAAGAAAGCCAACAAGCCCCCGCTGGTGCCAATGGCGAACGCGTCACGCCTTCGACAGTGAAAATCCTGGCGGACATGCGACGTTGCGCATTTGACTTGGATTTCCTCATTTCGCGACAGCCAAAGCTTAATAGCAACCAGAACACGAAGATGGCAGCTGTTACTCCGGCTCGAACACCTGCACCCAACGAACTCGAGTATTTGGATGTATTCGATTTCTTCAACATGCCTAGACTCCCCGTATCAATGGATGGAGTCATGAGCTACCCTGCGCCCGATGGTAACGTACAGATGCCTGACGGCACTTTTGGCAATGAGTCCAATATCACGAACTACATGGTTGATGCTAGCTCCGACTGGTTTATGAAGCAGACAGCGTAATGAGTTTCGGAATCGGTTCCTGGCGCTTGGGTTGACGGTTTGTATTATAAGGGCTCCTTTGGTCGTGGATTATGGTTACAGGGCTGGTGTGATTAAAAGCTGATCGGTATATCAAAAGCCGTACTTGATTCGGGATTCCCTGATGACATTGGATTTCTATTAAGTACATGAATTCTATGATTGGCAGTCGTGTATCGCGTTGTGAAGTACGTCCGTGGAGACATGCCGGGAGCACCATACCGATTTCGGACCTCGTATCACTACTATCTGCTCATGTCATGGCACCAACGCCGATTCTTCTTCCACACACACCGCCAGCAGGAATTTACGTCTGCCCAAAGACCTGTTTGTTTACATATCGGGATAGATTTGGTACGTAAATATTCTCTGTAATGTATTGAAATCATCGGCCATCTCCAAATCGGCGGATACCCTGTTTTGCCGTCGGAATAGGCTGCCCTGCTTCGGAATACCTAGTGTGACACCATATCATTCCGACGCGCTTCCATTACACAGCAGCACAACGTCAAGCCTATAGATATTACTAGTTCGCAAATCCTTCATAACCAGGCATTTTGAATTGATTCTATAAGAATCTAATCATCGCCCTTAAAATCCCTACTTTCACCCAAATCTAGATCCACCACCCCCCTCGCTTTCCAACATTTATTAGTAACATTTACTACCTCTCAATCCAACTTCACCCAAAAAAAGGACATCCATCACGACACCCTAAAAGAAGAAGAAGAAGAAGAAGAGGAAAATGGCAAACCCCCAAGAACCCCCCCACATCCTCATCCTAGGCGCCGGCGTAATCGGCCTAACAACTTCCCTCGTCCTCTCGCACACCTACCCGACCGCAAAAGTAACAATAGCCGCAACCTACTTCCCCGGCGACCGCTCCATACACTACACTTCCCCCTGGGCCGGCGCAAACTGGTCCTCCATGGCCACCGACAACGGCCCCCTTGAAAACTACGACGCTGTAACTTTCCGCCGCTTCGGCGAGCTCATCGACGGTCAGTCCGTATTTGGGTGCCGAGCCGTTCGCGCTGGCGAAACTGAAAATTCGAGTGGTGGTGGATTGGGGGGGAATGAAGTGGGGTTGGGGCGGATGGGCATGTGGGCTGTGTTTGATACGCCGATTGAGGAGGCGGGGATTCTGAGTGAGGGGACGGGGAGGGTGTGGTATGATGAGCTAGTTGGGGGGTTGAGGGAGTTGGATAAGGAGAGGTTGCCGAGGGATGCGGTGTTTGGGGTTGAGATTCCGGCGACTTTTCGGATTAATACGCAGGTTTATTTGCAGTGGTTCGTTCTTCTTCCCCTACTCCCCGTTTTTTTTCACTTTATTTCTTTTTTCTGCTAGAAGAGTGGATGTGTGCTGATGATGGACAAGGTTACAACATCAGGCCCTAGCTAAAGGGATCACTTTGCTTCGCCGCCATTATACCTCTGTGGCTTCGTTGCTGGAAGACGTACCATCTGCCACCCTCCTCGTCAACGCCACAGGTCTTGGTTCCTTGTCTCTAACAGACATCCGCGATACGAATCTGTACCCGACCCGTGGCCAGACGCTGCTGGTTGCGGAACCCAAAGTCCCGATTGAGAGAATGTATGAATATGAGAGGCTGGGGTATTGTGATGCCTTTTCTCACCCCCCCCCCCTCCAGATACGCAGTCCATGTGACATGTGACATTCAAGAGTAAAAGATTTTTTTCTAACCCAAGATAACAAGGTACCTTCGCTCCCCCCACCGCATCGACCCAACATGCACATACGTCTTCCCACGCCCGCTGGGCGGTGGCGTTATTCTAGGCGGCTCTCGCCAAGACAATGATTGGAGCGCTGAGTGGGATGAGGAGCTTGGTCAAGATATTTTGAGGCGGTGCTGTGAGCTGTGTCCTGAGTTGGGGAAGCCGGAGGAGGTGCAGGTTTTGGCGAAGAATGTGGGGTTGAGACGTCAGTTCTTCTTTTTTTTTCCTTGTTTGCCCTCTCTTATTTCTTTTGGATTGAAGTGTGTTAAGGGATGAGAGGCTAACGTGATGATAAATAGCGTCGAGAAAAGGAGGCATGAGGATTGAGACCGAGGTGGGCAAGTGGAAAGTGCCTGTTGTGCATTGTTATGGGCATGCTGGGGCGGGATATCAGGCTTCTTGGTAAGTGGATTTTCATGGATTGATATGTATGGTGTGTTGCTAAGTAAGGATACAGGGGATCTGCTGAGCGCGTGCTGGAGCTTGTGCAAAAGATACTTGCACCAGGTGCAAAGCTTTGAAGTTTTGAAGTGAAATTGCCTGGTCATAAATTAAACTTGGATTATCATCTCGTAGTCTTATGGATGTGCATGGTAAATGTGACTTGACATGAAGGTAGACTTGTAAACAACAATTCTGGTGTAGTAAGTACCTGTACGAAAATGAACAGCCTGGGTGCCGACTTACTCGAATTATCCATTGATCATGTGTGCTGAATATCCCATTACATTCTTTAGAGGAAAGCAAGCATAACTCTAGAGCTGGACCGAGGTTTCTTGCGACGCTGAAGAGCATCGCTCAACCCTCCCACCTCTGCGCCTCCTTGTTATACCCTATGAGCTGTAGATCAATATTAAGCGTCTTGAGCATCATATCCATAGTAAACGACTACCTTCAGTTAGCAATCTCTCCATCCGCGTCCCCGGCATCACTTACATCATCCGCATTCTTGAACGTCTCCTTCTCCTCTTCCACCTCCCTATCCCCCTCCATCTCAGCAAACCGATCATACTCCTCTTGCGGGACCTCCCCATTTTCTCTCGCCTCCCTCATCCTCTCCCTCTCCGCTTCCATCTCTTCCTGATCCCACTTCATCTGCCGTTGCTTAGCGTCCTTCTCGCGTTCCTGCCAGGCGCCCACCCCACCCATCCTGTTGACTCGATCTCTGGTGATACCAAAAAGCTCTTCGGCTGCTGCACGGCTTGCGGTCCGCCATTTTTCTATTAGTGCAATCAGATCGTCGTCTTTTGAGGACGTAGCAAGAGTTTGTGCTTGGGTGAGCATTTGGATCTCGTTGCGTAGTTGCATTATTTCGCGTGCAGCTGAGGGCTTAGAAAGTGTGCTTCTTGGCGCTAGTCGCGAAGGCGTGGACGAGTTTGGTCGCGACACGAGCGTCTTTGGGACTCTCGATGCAGGTCTTTGTGCTGATGCAGCATTCCCAGAGGGTGACGTAGTGGCCTTCTGTTCGGCATTGCTCGTAGAATGTGCAGAACTCACACAGATGGAAGTATCTCCTAGTTTTTCCTTTGTGGATGATTCTGCTTCAGGTGGGTCTGAAGATGGCGGATCGTCGCCAATGCTGGGCTTCAATGGTGTTCGGAAAGGAGACTTGAATGGCCTCTGCAGTGTTTTCGCGGCTTCGTTCAGCCGACGGCGTTTCGCTTGCGGAGTCGACATGCCTGCAACTTTGTACACATTTGAATCACCTGTTAAACCTGCTATCGCTGAATGAGTGTTGGTGGGGATAGTGTTAGAAATACGGCGATGTCATCGGTCGCTTTCCGTGTCACTTTCCTTGGCAGACGCGGTTTCACGCTGTCACGTGGGGCGCATAATAAGGAAAGAGCCAGTTGGATGTATCTTGCATGCATGCTTGTTGGAATGAGTACATAATGCATCTCTCCAAAAAGACTGATTAAGATGAAGATTTGTTCGGTCACCGTATCAAAGAAACAATCACATCAAAGTAGATTTGAGAATTTGAAATAGAGGTTGTTTTTGGTAAATTGAAAACAAACTAAGTTCACTCATAGCTTTATCGTTATATTGTAATGGTCAAGACCAACAGCGAATCCAGCCAGGACAGCGACGTATGCCGTGAGGACCGCCATTGATTCAATGACGCTCATGTTCAAAGTGGGTAGCGTCATGTTGACCAGACCTGTCAGCAAATTGGCGACTAAGAAAACCGCAAGACCATTGCGGTTGAACGCATACAGTATAGTACTAGTGGCGTCTCTAGTGCGTCGTATTTCCTCGCTTTTGTTTGTGGCCTTGTACAAGCTGGGAAAGAGAACAGGCTCAATTGCGCAGCATATGGTGATTTGATAACTGTTGAACGAAGACACCCAGAGAAAGTACGGAAGATTAGCAAGCCGTCTTGATACTGGTAAGCGAAGGCCATAGTAGCTTGTAGAGAAGTAGAAAAGTGCGGTCCAAAGGAGAGATGTAGTTGCAAGCTTCCCAAGCGTGGATTGCCGGAGTTTTGTTGTCATTGGTGCGTCTTTGGCGATTGGCTGCTGTCTAGGGAGTGCAGACGCACCCAGGGACTGGCCGGCTAGGAAAATCGCAAGATATCCAAAGAAGGAGAATATCCCTTCTCGGTTCTTGGAGAGCAAATCTGTACGTGGGGCCACAAGTATGTAGGGTCCAAGAGGCGTGCAATCTAAGACAACTTCGTAGACGGCAGCCAGTACGAACGACAGCACAGCATATGAAGGGACCAGGTCAAATGCCGACTGGAAAAGAGCCGCAAATGGTGGTAGGAAGCCCAGGGTAAAGAAGAAGTTCCAATGCACGCCATATTCAGAGACATGTTCTGCGTAGTCCAGTCCCTTTACGGAGATGAGTCGAATGACACCAAGGACAAGAAGGGGAACGGAATGTCTGAGTGATGCCATCAAGCGTTTGGATAGTGGCGGTCGGCCAGTGCCTTCCTTGAGTGAAGAGCGGACTGAAACCACGCCAGCAGTGAAGACAAAGGACCCGACACCCATGTCCATGAGTGAGGTACCCCAGTTCTCGACTTTAGCGAACCGCCGTGGAAAGACACGAAAGTCGACGGCCAGGATTGCGACGCACGTGATGACCATCATTGCGCCGCGGTAATTTGTGATGAACGGCTTAACAGGTAGTGCATCCAGTTTGGAGTCTTTTTCAGACTTGTCGATCTTGGGCGGACGCGGGACTTCCTTGGCTGGAGCGGGCTTCTCAAGGACATATAATGCAATTGCTGGGAGTAGCAGGAGGAGATTGAGAATCAATGGAGAAGGCGAGTAGATGGTGGTTGCGAACAGCGTAGCTCCGCAGTTGAGTAGAAAGTCGATGAACATGGCTGGTGGCGTATAAGGCGTGAACAAGCGCATACGCGACTGTATGACCGACCATAGCAAGATGCTCAGCTTAGCATTGTTAGTATAGACTTATTGCTTGAGGAATGGAATCGTGCACAGTACAGGCATTGCGAGCGAGACGATATTTACATCTGCTACAGAGCTCCCCGTATGTCCCGACACCCACGCCTCCTTCATCTGCTTGTACGTTTTCGCCATTATGCCTTAATGAGCGTTGGCCGAGTTGGTCGTTGGACATGCAATTACTGGTGAAGGTGACGCGTTAGCTGTCCTCTTCTCCAACCGAAGCCGTGGCCCAAGCGTCAATGACCTCACACATCGTGATTCCCACAGCCATCTTCTGCAACTTCAACACCACACCGTAAAGATGCCGGTAGCACGAAAGGGCGAGTCTCGGAAGGTTTCTCTCACAGTGACCGTGGATTTTTTTTCTCATCCGGGTTACGAGAAAGAGCAGAGTCATGTCGCGTTTGCAATTCACTTGGACTGGGCCATCCACACTCACCTTCACTGCCTCTGCAAACGCAAGCAAGCACGTGCGCAAACCTCGCCCTTTACTATATATATAGCAGATCTCAGATAGATTCTCTTCTTCTTCTTCTTCCAATCAACCTCCTGCCATTTCGAACCTCTGTCCGTGACGAACTGCTGACTCGCAAGAGTCGGCAACAGACGCTGACGGTGATGACAGATCCCCGTCCAGTCTCCGCTAATATAGCTGTACTTCTGCATGAAGATGGATCGAGGCCGCTAACTCACTCGGATGCGATGCCCATGGGTAACTCTCGGCTTCCTCGCCCTATGTCAACTTACAAGCCTCTACCCAGTCCTCCGATCGCGCAGGTGTCAAGCCCCAATAGTCCGCCAAAAGCCCAGCGTACGCTCATAGACGCTCAGTCTGAGAGCTCTATACACGGCAGGTGGCCGGTACTTCACCCCGAGAATGTTTCTCCACCCTCAAACTCGTTGGCTCAAGATTCTTATGATGGCGCCGGCGATGACCGCAGCATCCGATTGAAGCCACTCTCATGGCATGCATCAGATGCAGATGCAAATGCGCATACCGGTACAGGCCCAATCCTTAAAATATCTGCTGACGCCGATGAATTCATTCTAGGCACTGGTGACGATATCCCAGAAGTACCACCTATCCCGGCGGTATTCACTGAGCGTCTCCAGCAGACACGCTCTTTCAGCAATCTCAGGGCCCGCCTCGCGGAGGTTACAGAGTACAAGTCGTCACTGAGCAATGCGCCACCAGCTCCAACAGTGCACCCTGTGAGAACATTGAGAAGTTTGACCCCTGTCGTCAAAATCAGCCCAATTCGCTCCATGCAGCCTGCAAGAAAAGTCAGCCCAGCCAGCCATTCACCAATGTCTTCGTCGCCCCTCGCCAGGCCCTCTACGAGCTCGAATTCCGAAGACAAAGTAGTTGTGATAACCGCTGACAACACAACTCGTGCTACAAACCACTCAGATCATCACATGAAGCTTACAGGATCCGCTTCAAAGCCCACGATCATTGTGTCCGAGCCCACAGCATCTCCAGAGATCTTTGAATCTACTGAATCTCGTCAGGTACGTCAATCAGGCTTTTTTTCGAGGGTAATAATTCTTACATTAGGAGTTTCCTGCACCTCTTTCAGGATACATTCAATTGCCAGACGACGAGCCAGTCTTGGAGGTGAAGAAGACCGGGATCAGGAAGACAATCACAAGCATCATGAATTCGAAGTCCTCACCAAACCTGAAGGACAACTCCGGCAATGAGACCAAGAGCTGGAGAATGAACCCTTTCAACAAGAGCTCGCTGTCATTGTACAAGACGGCGCAGTCCCACGATACCGTCCGCAACCCCGATTCTGATAGGTTGAGGACGGCGGAGACTGTGACGTCTGAAACTGAAGAGGGCTCTTCCAGTCACGAAACATCACAGCAGCGCCAATCATACCAATCCGATGATCACTTGATGGACTCGTCGGTGGCTCCCTCCGCTCCAGAAGATACATCGTCGGACAAGCAAGATCGCGGTATGACAGAGAAGAAGATCAGAGCCAAGCGCAGCATTCGCGACATCTTCACTCGAGGCAGGTCGCGCACCGGACCAGAAGAACCGATGCCTACTACCAAGCAAGGTTTCCTGAGTGCCACGAGCAGCTCACTCACCAAGGCCATGCGTGATGCAAAGAGTTACTCCATGGTCAACCTCGCCGTGCCGACCGAGTCCAGGCCTCAGACTGCACCTGCTCCCAGTCAGAAGAAGGACAAAGGCAAAAATCCTCCCATTCCTCTTAGTGCCGGTCTCAAGTTGAACAGTACTTGCGCCAGTCCAGACAGGAAGCTCGTACCCGACGAACGCGAGAGCACACGCACCTTGATTGAAGACATGCTCGAACGCTTAGATACGCAGCCTCGCGACTCGAGTGAGCATCTGCGTATTGTTCAGATGGCAGAGGTACCTACAATCAAAACAACAACCAATAACCCAAATTCCCCTCTCTCTCCTCCGTTCAAAGAGCCCCCAGCTAACCATCGAGACAACAGTGTGTCATGAGCGCTGCCTTGAGCGCCAAGAACTGCGAGGATTGCGCAGAAGAAGCCAAGCAAAACGCCCGCAGTGCGGAGATATGTTTGGGAATGGCTACCATGGATCTCGAGCGCTTGTATAATATTGTAGATTTTTCCGATCTCGACACCGAGGTTGCGAGCGGCATCAAGCGACTCGGTCGTCTGTTCAGAACCGGTGGCAAGCCGGACTGGCTTTGATGGTATGCTTGATACTCATTCACTACTTGTTCATTGATGGCGAATGGCTAATGCGATACAGTACTTTTCACGAACCACATGGGCTGCCGGCGGACACCACCGTACACTGTCTCCCATAGACGTTACGACACTCTCACGACTCGTTAACATGCTTTTTTTCCTTTTTACGATACCCTTGGACGACGACACCCCGGTGCTCGAGATATACCGACGCACAATGAGCTGCAGTCGCTTTTCTCATGACTTTCTTGGGCACCGACATCTCCACTCCACGATGGATTGCACGATACTTGACGATTTTTTGACAAGTCAATGATTTTGACGATTGTATAACGGGTTGATGCATGCGATTGTTTTGCGTAGCTACCGGGCTCGCACACATAGAGCCATGGTTACTGATCAGCGATTTACGAATGATGACGGCGACAAAAGGTGGATACTCGCTCGGCGCATGCGTTCAGAAACGTATGGCACGGTGGAGGATAGATCGATCAGTTGAATTCATGAACCTTTTATTGTACAGATTTTGAGCATTGTAGTCGTGACTGAGATTGCATACAACACCCGACCAAAGGTGGAGTGTGTTCATCGGCCTCATGCATCCGGAACCCACAGATATCTTCCATATGCTCTTCAGCTCTCGATAGTGAGTCACCTGGAATATCGTACCCAGTAGCCCTATCCCAGCTACCAGAGCCAATCTCTTTCCTTTCCCCCCACAATCGTATCGTCTCCTCCACATTTACATACCCCCAAACATCCCACCACCCTGCTTCCCCTGCGCCTCTCCCTGCATCTTCTCGCTAACCTTGACATTGACCTCGAAAAACTTGGACACGCAGCGATCCAAGCACACCGACTCGCCCTTGTTGAGATCCGCCTCGCGGTACGACGTGTCTATGCATTTGGCCGTGCAGGATTTGACAAGACTATTGGAAGCGTTAGCATCTGCGTTGGTGTCGAGGAATTGGGGAGAGATGATGGGGGGGGAGGATGGAGGAGAACGTACCGACTGTACATGTCAGAAACCATATCGATTTCCGCCTCTGCCTGCGCAATCTTTTGCTCCGAGGAGATTTGGGGTTTTGCGCCGAAGAACATGGACATTTTGGGCGGTGTTTGGGTTGCTTTCTTCTGGATTGGGGTGTGAAGGGGTGCGCAATTGGCGAGTTTTGGGGTGTCACTGGTGTGTGAATGCGGCGTGGGGATGTGGGTGGTTGAATTTGGTTGTTTCGAGTCGGATTTGGGTGGTTGCGGGCGATGATGTCGTTTGAAGCAAGAATTCTGCGGGGGGATCGGCTTGTGGTCTGTGCGTGTGGCTGGTGTGCGTGGGTTGTGGGATTGTGGGTGATTTTACTGTGCTTGTATCACTTTGTACTACCTTGTACTTAAACATCGTGTATTCATTTTACTTGAGGTTTTATTTGGATTGCTTTTCAAGCTAGACTTGTATGATTTGTTCACGACTGTAACTCATGTTCCGTGGGTCCCGTGTACACTTTGGAGTTGAGCCGCAACGAGATGGGTGGAGTACCGCATCTTCTTTGCGCAGGAAGAAAGTACGCCATCCTTTTGAACAGTTTACTTTGTACAAGGGCTTTTACACTATACTCGCTGACGGGATGCAGACAGTGACATGCTCTGATTAATTTAGGCATGTTTGATGATCTTGACAAGCATGGACATGATCAAGAAACGAAGTCTCTAAGGTCTTGGAAGCCACCTACTACGCATTACTCGCGAGTTGCGAAACTGAATCCATCAAATAATTTGATTATTCAATCTACCATTTCCTTGCCCTGGATTTGTGCCAACTATAAAGACTATGCGAAAAGGAGTAACTGTTTGGTACCTTGGGGAGAAATCAATTACTGCACTCCCGGTCTGAGCAAAAACCGTGATGTGTGGAGTAATCACTGTGTATTGACTTCGCGAAGCCTTTGATCAGCGTTTGGTGCATAGTAGATCCTTTTGATGATCATCCGATCATCCGTCCAAGGCGATTTGGTATTCCAAATTCACCAGAGTGGTTGATCAACCGGCAGCAGCGGCTTCACTTTCATGGCAAGGGTATTGACCCTAGAGAGCCTTTGAGAGAATGGCTCTTGGGCTAGCATCAAAAGATCACCCCGCGCAGCATATGTGGAGAAAGCAATAGTAAAGAAACTCGAAAGTACGGTCTACCGAAGCCAACGTGTAGGATGATGATAGGGGAAGTGACAAAGGGGGGAACGACAGAGAGGGTAAAGGACAAAAGGGGAAAAGAAAAGGTGGATCAAGTAGGGCTGCAGCCAGGGGAGATACAGATTCTTCTTCTCCTCTTTAGTCACCTTGTTGAGGCCCTTCGTGCGGGAGGCTGATATTACTCAGACGGAGAATTCCTCCACAAGATTTCTCCCCGCGACTGACGCGGTCAAGGAGAACTCACCGTCTCACGTCATGGTCCAGAACCGATACACTGGCCCCAGTTGACGTGTCACCAAAGCGCAATGGAGCGGCTCACTTTCCATTGTTCGTAACTGGATTTATGTGTATACGAAGACGAGATTGCAATCAACATGCACATGTACTAACACGCGCGACATTGCGGCGACAATATTTCTGACAGGTACCCATCACCAAGGTTTGACAAACCCTAGTCCCACCGTATTGATCCTCACCTTGGGGTTCAACAAAGGTACAAACTCGGACGTTCGGAATTCAACCACTACCGCCGTCATAGGCTTGCCTTGGCAACAACCGTTGCTTGCGACGGTGCAAGCAACGTGCCTGCGCAAGTCCGAATCTAATCAAATTTCTATTTTGGGGACGCGCCGTTGGAATTACGTATACGATAAAGCCCGTTTTCCCGCATGTCGTATCGGACACCGGCGGATAGATTTCCGCAACTTCAACGATCCACCAACTTTGCGGAGTCGCGTGCACTTGCTACTAGCGCTTCTACACTAAATTTCCAGCATTATCCCGACAGAGTCAGCAAATCAAGCCATGCTGTTGCATAGGTTTTTATGGCGGTAGTCAGCGGAATTATTCCTTCGCTCTAGTTCAGGTGTGGTTGGGACAGAGCGGGTGACATTTGGATTTTGCCGTGCTGATACGAGCGTGGAACTATCGATTACGCGGCACCGTTACCAGAACGAGCCAAGAGTGAAGGTTCGCGATGACATGGTTACATTGATTATCGATTTCTCTTTTTTGCTTGCTGCATAAGCACGACATGGACAGGCGATACTCGGCGTCATCGGAAGCGCTGCGCATGCTTTGCCCAATAACTTTATTTTAGCGGATGGCAAGAGCAGGGGTTCTCAAGAGGATGATGTGATCGTACGACAAAAATTGATGACTTTCGTAATATTGGCAACGATACTGGAGCAGATTAGCACGTGATCCCTAGCAATTCACGACATGGCGAGAGACGCGTTAAAGGAGTGACTAAAGTTAGTTATTGATTTTGATAGAGCTATCTAGAGACAAAATAAATCCAAAAAAAAACACACAAAGAAACAAAAACATCTCCAATCGTAAACAACCGTTCTATACCGTGATCTGAGAATATGTACAGTGAATGGTATTAGATTAAGGAACCGCGAGTACAAAGGAAACAAACAAATCACTAGGCACTAATACTAGGCAACATCGAAGAAGTAACTACTCTGCAGTGCAAGAGCTACAAGGTCCCCCCAATTGCCGTTGATAACACCTGTGTCGCCCTAGAATTGTTGCATGGCTTGAGAAGAGAAATCTTTTCCATCTTTCACACTATGTTAAGCTCCATAGCTTAGTTGTCTTCGGTGGGGTAACCGCTGTAGCCGGTGTAGGGAGAGGGCGAGGCAGCTGGGTAGCCGGTTCCGGGGTAAGGAGAAGGCGAGGCAGCTGGGTAGCCG